GATGTAGCTCTAATTTTATAGAGTGAACCACTATAAAATTCTTCTTGTTCATTTACATACAGTTCATTCAAACACAAAAATACTTAAATCAAACTAGAATCCACACTTTCATTAAACCCACAAGCCGGTAATCTAAAGGGTAACCCTAAGGTAATCCGGCGAGTTTATTGTTGACGAAATCCAACCGTCAACAAATATCAATATGGAGCGATGGTCGGGAGTAGTGCATACGTAGTAGAATACATTTAGGAAAGAATTGTAGCGTGTCTAATAGCTAGGGCATTTGGAATAGATGTACATTATAATTTACAAAGTACAACTTGCATGCAATCATGCGTATCCAACTAGGAGTAGGAGCAGGATGACCATTTTTTTTTTTTTTTTACACAATTCTTGGTCATAGTTTTTGTGAAAATTACATGAAAATAATAATCTGAATACGTTATAAGTAACCACTGTCCTCCTACAATGAGATAGTACTCGGCATAATTTCATTAAATAAATGTCGTTGATAATTGATAAACAAGCATTTAGCATTCCTTCAAGTTCAGAGCAAAAACAAGAGGTATTCCTTCAAGCACCAACTCTTTAGGTTTCTCAAAAGTCAAAGATTGAAAAAAATAAAAGAAAAAAATTAAAACTAAAAATAAAAACATAAACGCACGCACATACGTTCAGAAAAATGTTAGACAAGAAAAATGGCAACAATTTGTACGTTTGGGAAGTCTTACTAATCAATCTCCCTGGTTGTGCGTTTCAAAGCGAGAAGCTACAGTTTGTAATCTTGAAGTACAGATTGGAGTAATCACAATCCTGGAATGAAAGGATATGGAGAGCGAAAGTAGAAGAATTTGAAGGCAGAAGTGTTGTCTTATGTAGGCCTGGCTACTACGTACTTCTAATTCAAATGGGAGTATGATACATACATTACATATATATATATATATTCACGAATTATGTGCATGCATGCAATCACGTATTCTACTAGGAGTAGGACTATATATGTATATATATATATATATACATATAAATATTCATAAATTATGTGCACGCAATCACGTATCCTTTTAGGAGTAGGACTAGGAGTCTTGAGAGATATGTGCGGATAGATAGGCTAACTATAACGTTGTGACTTGTGGGAAACGTTAGGAGAGTTTCATAATACTGTTTTGTTTTTTATTTTTTTAGTTATAGGTCATAATTTTTGTAAATAATAATCTAAATAATCAGCGGCCATTCTCACGTGACCTTTAATACTCTCTGCATAAACTTAAAACGAAGCCTATCAATTATCAAGGGGAAGATTGAGTTTATAGTTTTCATGTGATGCGGGTTATACGATTGATTTTAGTGTAGGCTAACCATAATATAAAAATATAATGGATACTTACATAATATAAAAATTTGAAAATGTAGAAAAATTAAGTGGGGCTTTAAGTCTCCATTGGAGCTTGGTTTTTCATACGTATATATACTCAAATGAGTTTTCTATTTGACTTGTTCTGATTAAAATATATTCTTTCGATACATTTACTCTTTTTTTGGGGGCTTTCTATTTGATTTAAATATACGTATATATACACACTTGGTTGTTTTTGGGTCAAGTTTTGAACGTTTTTGTGAGTGAACATGAGCAAATGCTGTGCAACAAGATTTTAAGGGGAACAGAGGAGAAAGATCGAAATATTGGGTAGGTTTGTAGAAGAACATATATACATAGGGGTTTTGAACTGGAGGATTTTTGATGGCATACGGTTTATAAGATGAGAGGCTGTTAAGATGGCTTCTCCCCGAAGATATTTTGGAACATACATTGTGAACATTAGGGCTCTAGCAACTTCAAGTAAATGACGTTTTTTTCTTTCTGCTACATCATTTTGCTGTGGTGTATCAGTGTAAGAACTCTAATGAATGATACCATTAGTTGCTAGATAATCACCTAAGATGGATTTGTAATACTCTGTTCCATTGCCGGTCCTTAAGACTTTAACTGAGGTTTGAAATTGATTTTTTATCATGGAGTGAAAATTTTGAAAGATTTTTGAAACCTTAGTTTTTCTTTAAAAAGATAGACCCAACATACTTTGGTATGATCATCGATAAACGTAATAAACCATCTAGTTTCCGTGATATTTTTTACACGAGAAGGCCCCCATATGTCACTATAAATTAAGGTGAATGGATGAGACTCTATGTATGGTTTGGCTGGATATGATGTACATGTGTATTTGGCCAATTGACAAATGTCACAATGAAAGGAACTGAGATTTTTATTAATGAATAAATCTAGAAACAAACGTTTGAGATAATGAAAATTGGGGTGGCCTAACCTACGATGCTACATCATTACATCTTTATTGGAAGTAGAAGAAATATTCTGAGCTATTGTAGCCTGTTTATCCACATGTTCATCATTCTCAAAGTAGTAGAGTCTGTCATCATCCTTAGCAATGCCAATCATCTTCTCCGATCCCTGCTCCTGTATTTGACAAGAAGTAACAAAAAAATTAGCAGTACAATTAAGGTCATGAGTGAGCTTGCTAATAGACACTAGGTTGCATGCTAATTTTGGAACATGGAGTACATAATGTAGCACAAGTGTGTCGAACAAGCGGATAAATCCTTTTCCAGCAACATAAGAGAAGGTTCCATCTGCTATTTTTTCTCTTGAGCTCCCATGGCATGGAGTATAGGAGTAAAAAAGAGATGAGTTACATGTCATATGATCGGATGCGCCATAGTCAAATATCCAAGGAGTTTGATTTTCTACATGAAGGGTAGTACCTTGATGAGCAAAACTACTTGTTGCTGTTTTGGGATTAGTCACGGTTTGCTGACTCAGAAGTTTGATTTTTGTTCAAGAAGACTCCAGTTGACTCATTGTTGCTGGTGTCCTTTATTTTTTCCTCTGTAGCAGCTCGAAACCCCTTGCTTTGAGGCTGTTTCCTTGGTTTTACATCGGCAGGTCTTCCATGGAGGTCCCATCATCGTTCTCGGGTATGGCCAAGTTTGTTACAGTGAGAACATGTGCTGATTCAATTTTTGATCACCATAAGGTCGGTTAACAATACTTTTTGTGATAAGAGCAGTGTTCTCAGCAGGTCTGTCACCTATGGAGAGCACATGCGAGTTCCTTTTTTCCCCAAGCATCACTCGGCATCTACTTTCTTCACGACATACTTCTGTAAAAGCTTCACCTATGGAAGGTAGTGGTCTCCGGCCTAGAATTCTTCCTCGTACCTCATCAAGTTCTTTGTTGAGCCCAGCTAGAAAATCATACAACCGTTCCTTTTCTAGATGTCTTTTAAACTTTACGTTGCCTTCAAGGTCACCCCAGTCCGCCTCATAGTGCATATCCAATTCTAGCCATAGAGTCTGCAACACGTTGTAATATTGAGTGATATCCAAATTCCCTTGCCTACTATCCTTGAGTTTATTCTTTATCTCGAAAACCTGGAAGGCAATTTTGAGATCCGAAAAATTCTCTATGACATCGTCCCATATGGCCTTGGCAGTGCAAAGAAACAAATAGGTGCGGTGGATATGCATCTCCATTGAGTTAATCAACCACGCCATAACACTGGAATTATTCAGTTCCTATTTTTTGTAGGTTGGATCCGTCGTATTGGGATGCCGAACCTCGTGTCACGCCCCGAAGCCGGGGTTAGTGACGTGAAGGCTCGTTTAGAAGTTAAATGTGATTAAACACTTATAATCATAATAATCAAAATCAAAAGAAAAAATATTAAAGAAATTTCTAAACGAGCCCCACTATTTAGCCGAAAATAAATTACAAGAAAGTTATGGGATCGCCCGCACTTTCTACATCGTTAAGGGCTTCACCCACAGGATATGCAGTATTGTACAAACATGAACATGTAAATAACATTATAGACATCAACCACAGTCTAGAAATCCATAGTTCAGAGTTTACAAAATTTACAAATTCTTACATTTATACACATAGATGATGATCACAATCCTCTCTTAATCGGACGGTAGCAACTAACTCAGCTACTCGGCACTGCTCCTAGAGTCCCATGGGAGGGGTTTAATATTTATAAAACTAATAATACATGAGCGAAAGGCCCAGTAGGATGTAATTTGAAATAAATTTGATAAACAAGTAAATAAATGAATGAGTAAATAAATAAATGAACAAGCAATTAACTAAATATAGACATTCAGTTCCAACACAACAGCCAGAACCTCACATCCTTTTTCTGAAAGGAATATAAACTGAAAGTTTCGTATTACAGGCATCAGCAAGTAATTCATCCTCTGATGAATTCCTTAGGGCCCGTTCACTTCGCTGATTTGAGTTTGTAATTCGAGTTGAGATGTGATTTTATGTGAGAGCTTTTTACTGTAGCAAAAAAGTTAGATGTGACTGTTTCTGATAACTTTTTACTGTAACAAAACTCGAATTCTAAACTTGAATCAGTGAAGTGAACGAGGCCTTACACAACCACAACCATAAGCCTTTACACCACCGTAGTGGCCCGGTCCGGGTTTCGGGTCCTGCCCCCAAGGATGCACTCTCCACATCCTATCTAGGCCATCAGTCAGTTTACTGATCCGCAAGATCTCTTGTCTTAAGAAATCATTCATTAAACTTTATGAAATAGTTCATTATGATTCCAATAGCTAAAATCAAGCTATTATTTTTTTAAAAAATGTTTTTCTTTCGCAAACATGCCATTTCTTTAAAACATTTACAAGGCCAAAACTCTTTTAAAATCAGGCTAACAAAGAAAGGGGTAAGAAATCCTACCTCTCAAGTACCAAACCTGTGGCTAGCGGTGCACTATTCCGGCTTTCACTTCCTCAAAGCCCCTCAATCCGAGTCCTTAGCTAGCATTGACACAAAATAACACTTTAGGATCCAATTCTCATTCCTAAAGCAACTCAATCTCAATTATACTATTTGATTTCTTATTAGTGTGCCATAATTCAATTACTGGTTTCATAAATCATTTCATGTTTCAAATAACCATTCTAAGGGTTTTAATCTCAAAACATGGATTAAAGATGCTAATCCATTTACTCTAGATCCCCAAATGAAGCTAATTTGGGTTCTCTTCGAAAATCAGGGTCAAAACAGGGTTTTCAAGCAAAAGAGGGTCAAACCCCGTGTACACCGGTCGACCGGTGACAGAGCAGTGCAACACCACCAGTCGACCGGTGGTGTGCAATCCGGTCGAGCGCATAGGTCGACCTGGTGGAGTGCAATCCGGTCGACCGCATAAGTCGATCGGTGGGAGCCTGACAGCTTGACTGACAGGGCCGGTCCGAAGAAAATTCGGCCAAAACTTGCAAATCCGAGTTCCAATTCAAGATATTTCAAAGGAAAATCACTCAATCTAGGTTCTAAATGACAAATGCAATCAAAAGAACTAAAAATCCCAAATTTCTACCAAGATTTTACTCAAAACCCATAAAAATCCATTTCGAACCAAAATAAGTTTTCTAATCCGAAAAATCCAAGATTCAAGAGAGTTTTTCAAAAATCTTACCTCAAATCATTCTCTTGACGTTGAAAACTTTTTGAAATCCTTCTTTGGCTCGAAATCCGGTTGATTTGGGACAAAAATGGGAGAGAGAGAGAGTGAGAGAGCGAGAGAGAGTGAGAGAGAGAGTGAAGAACAACAAAGAATAAGAGAAATAGTGCATGGGAAAAGGAAGGAAAAAGGAAGAAAAGAAAAAGAAAAAGAAAAAAGAAAAGACAGGTGTCACAAAATTAAAAGACAATTCAGAAAATGTGTCTACACACACTTCTGGGGTAAAAATGTAAATACTGAGAATATTTAAATTCCTCAGAATTATTTAAATTTACACGTCAGAAACATTTAATAAACACAATTAATTATTTAACAAGATTAGGCACACTAATAAATCTTAATTACCTTAATTAATCTCATTTAATTTTTCGGGGTGTTACACCTCGCCTGTGATGTAGCCAATTTTTCCTCTCCCTCGGATCACCATCAAAACTGATTGGGACCACTGGAGGAAATTCTTGCCATTCAACTTGTGATTCGTGATCTGCAGTGACGACCCCTCTCCAAAGGACTGCGCAACCACGAACGATGTTACTGGGTCGGAGGTGGTTGATGATAACCCATCCTTATCAGAACTGGTTGTCTCATTCTCTGAACTCATTGTCGTGAGAACAACAATCAAGACGATGAAGACGAGAAGACAAAATATTTTTGAGCCTATGGCTCTGATACCATAAAAGTAAATCTGGAAGAATGACTTTTCTACTATATTCATTTAGAGAATAATACAACACATGTATATATACAAAGGTCAGTTCTACAAAAAAGAGAAACTAGAAACGAACATCCCTAAAAATCTACTATACATCATAATCTTGTTAACTTCCCAAAGTAATTGAGAAATATAACAAGTCAGTCATTCTATATATGGAATGATTGATATTTAGTAATAACCAAATATTCCTACAAAAACCGTTATGTGTACTCCTAAAAGGAATTAATAATGCAGTGTACCCCCATTTGCATAACCGTAATGTGTATTCCAAAAAAAAAAAAAAACCAGTGTCCCCCCATTTTAAAAACCCTAAGTGTTCCCCCAAAAAAAAAAAAAAAACCAAATGCAGTGTACCCTCATTTTCATAACCAAAATGTGTACTCCAAAAAAAAAAAAATAATAATAATGCAGTGTACCCCCATTTTCATAACCGTAATGTGTACTCCAAAAAAGATAGTGCAGTGTGTGTGTGTTAACTATACTCCAAAACACCCATTTTCATAACCGTAAATTAAGCATAGTACTCTCTAAAAATGGGGGTACACTGCATTATTTTTGGAGTATACACGCGTGTCCTAAACACCCATTTTCATAACCGCAATGCGTACTCTAAAAAAATAATGCATTGTCCCTCAAAAAAAAAAAAAATAATGCATTGTTTGTGTCGGTCCTAAAACCCCCATTTTCATAACTGTAATGTGTACTCCAAAAAAAAAAAAAAAATAATAATGCAGTGTGTGTATTTTCTGAACCCTCATTTTGATAACCATAATATGTATTTGTAATATGCATTTTCTATCATTCAACTGAATGTCTTCTTAGTTTTCTCGTGTTTGGTGTACTAAAAATTTGCAGACAGAAGTTTATCCTGCTCTGATGCTGTTTCCAGCAGAAAAGAAGAATGCTCTCCCTTCTGAAGTGCACATGGAAGTTACTGATGTTATTAAGTTTGTTGTTGATCATGGAAGCAACTCTCATCATCTTGTCCATGAGAAAGGTAGTTATTTATGAACGGGGTACGTTAAAACTAATGCAAATGCAGAAGGAACCTTTTATATTTTATCACCTTTTATGTTCCTTTTCTTTAAAGCTTCTGATGCAAATTTGCTTGCTTGATGATGCTCTGTGTTGTGTTTGTTGGAATATTTTTATATGGACTTCCATAATTATAATAATTTACTCTATAATTAATTAAAATATTTTATAGACAACTGTGTTAATGTAAATTAACATATGTATGTATGTTAAATATTATTCTATAATAGGATGGACACTTATTTTATTAACTCATTTGAGGCATTTAAATTCTCTCTATCTCATAATATTTAGTCAACCCATTAAACCAAATACTCTCTCTAATTAATATTGGTTAAAAGCCCTTAGTGCCCAATTGGTTTTGGTTAAGTGAGGCAACACCCCCTAATGTCTTTTGGTTAAGAGTGTGCCACCATTTTGTTCTTGTGGGGTGTGTACTCATGGGGGTGCCTTAAGGAGGCGGCCCCTACCCCTTGTTTTTGGTGTGTGCCCGTGTGCATGTGGAGGGGGCCTAAGGGGCTGGCCAAACCAACAAAAAGAGAGGCAGCCCCTCTCCCTTGTGGTGTGTGTGTGTGTGCACGTGGGGGTGCCTTGAGGAGGCAGCCCCTCTCCTTTGTGTGTGAAGGGCCTTAGAGGAGGCTAGTGGCCGACCAAACAAGAGAGGGAGAGAGAGGGAGGAGTTCATTCTCCTCTTGCTATTCTTCTCCATGTTTGCAGGTTCTCCACCTACTCCGACGGCCATTGGCGGATTCCGGCGACCGTGGACGGATTCCGGTGAGAGAGGTATGCCTAAATCCCAAATAAGAATATTTTGTGGCATTTTCGGATTTTGAGCTAGATTAGTGTTTTAGATCTCGTTTAATTCATGTCAAGATCGTTTTAAATCTAGCAAATGGTATCAGAGCCAACTTATTTGGGTTTAGAGCTATGTATTTTCGGATTTTTCCATTTTCGGTGGAAGGAAAATCCGAAATTCGAATCCGTATTTTGGCTCAGGGAAATGTTGTTTTGAGGTTACCTACTTCAAGTATGGCTCATAGGTGATGATTTCCTTGAGTTTTGTGGGTCGATTTGGCCGGAATCGATGTGTTTTTAGGCTTGAAAACGGCCGGTTATGGGTTTGTTAGGGATCTGATTTTTAGGCCTTATTGAGAAAAATTGATCCCAGAATATGAAAGAGCACAAAATTTCGAGCAAAACCCCTTTTGAATCATCAAAAACGGAGTTGTAGATCGGAAGTTATGGCCATTTGAATTTTCGGGTTG